CTGGTGTTGTCCCCTGTAGGGCTATGGGTCAGTGAGGGACGTCATGTCTCATAGTGGGGCTGGTCATGTGGTCCTCTCTGTGGACTGCTGCTCTGAGATGGAACATCGTCCTCAAGGCCTGGTGGGCCAGAATGTGCTCTTCTCTCTCCTCCTCCCCCTTCATCTGCGCTCATGTGCTCCAATCAGATATGTCCCTCTCCCAGAGCTGCAGATTCAGTGCCATCCTCTGAAATAAATTCTTCTGGGGGGAGGGGCAGGTGTCCATGTAGTTGGGATTGGGGCAAGCCCCTCAGACCTCTCCACTGGTTCCCTACTCTACACTGGCATGTTGCCGCGACCCTTTCATACAGTTCTTCATGTTGTGGTGATCCCCCAACCATAAAATTATTTTCATTGCTACTTCATCACTGTGATTTTGCTACTATTATGAATCGGGTGACCCCTGTGAAAAGGTCATTGGACCCCCCAAAGGGGTTGCAATGCTGTTCTAGTTTATATCCCAGGATCCTGGGTGGGTATCTTAAGGAGGAGACCAAAGAGGATGTTAGTTGACCTCAAGAAGAAGAGTCTAGTATAAGGCCCGCAGACTCATCAGCATACGTATCGTCCTTGCCATCACCGCTCCTTGTGGCCCCTGCTTCTGAGTTCCTTGAAAAGTGCTTTTGCAAACACCTTACTTCTGTTCCTGACGTCCAGGTTTCCTGGCTGTGCCAAGATTCAGTTAATTGGCCTGAGTGCTCCCCTGGTTCTGGGGTTGCTTCTTGTTTGCTTCTTGGGGATTTCGAGTAATTTTTGCTCTGAGGTGTCACTTCCTCCACATCGATTCCTGAGTTTTCTCCTCTGGTTCCTTTCTCAATAGCCACAGTGCCTTCTTCAGTGGGCACTTGGTGTGACCTGTTGGAGTTGAGGTGGATCGGGAGGAACTGACCTGTACAGGCTTGTCTGCTCGCTGCTGCCTATTATTACTATAATATTATGTTAATGATGTTTTTAGTGAATCAGGAAGTGTTTCATTAAAGCTTTTTATGCAGAGAAAGGTATACGAGATACTGTATACTAAGGAAGACAACAATTTAACTGACACTACATGCCAACCATACCTCAATGCTCTCACTTAAATACAAATTCAACTTAAAGACAGATTTAGAAATGGAACTCATTTGGAATCTGGGAGTTGTCTATAATACACATATAGGAAATCAGGTGTCTCACTGTGGGAATTGTACCCGGTATGACACCCCACACATACACTCGTCCCCTGACACACACACACCAGGGTAAAACAAGAAGGGAGCACAACAGAACAGCAAGGGGAGCAAAACAACAAAGTCCCAGAGGACTCCTGAACACAGACTTCTGACTCGTGGGGCAGGGTTTAGCACCTCATCAAACTGGATTGGAAAACATTCATAAGGGTCAGCAGACAAACCTGGAACGATTTACAGGAGATATATGAATATATACAGGAGATATATGAATATATATTAGGCAGGATTGTGTGCAATCCTTAGGAGAAAACAAGAGGACCAATGGTTTAGGGGGACATGATAGAGGAGGAGGGGACAGAAGGGAGGGATGGGGACAAGAGAGCTAAAATTGATGGTGAGGAGGGTATAGAGTGCCTGGTAGGGTTTGATTAAGTGCAATGTAGGCGGGAGGAATTACTGGGCACCAAATGAAGGTCTAACATGATAGTGGGACAAGAGGAAAATAAAAAGAAATAGAGGAAAGTACTAGGAGGCAAAAGACATTTATAGAGGTATAACTATAGGTATATATGTAAATATATTTATATATAATGATAGGGATATGTATGTATATTTATATGTTAAGTGTCAAGGTAGCAGATGGACATTGGGCCTCTATTCAAGTCCTCCCTCAACGCAAGAACACTTTGTTCTAATAACATAATTCCATGATGCTCACCTTCCCAACAAAATGGCTGAAGACAAAGCAGGTGCATATGCAAATGTGAAGTGTGGGATTATAAAGAGACTTGCCCCCAGCTTTGTGTCCCCCAAAGACATGCCAAACATTAGAGGCCATTTGCCAGCATATTGTGGGAGGTCAGATGCTTAGAGATCTCCTCCCTGAAGGCAGTCAGTTGCCAGACCACAGGTAGGGCCCGCTCCTGCTGTTAAGGACAATGGGCTATGTCTTCCTAAAGGCTTGAGGCCATCAGCTTGGCTCCTGTAGGTGGGGTTTACACCCTACTGATAATGGTTTCTATAGTGATCCAGAGAACAGGTCAAACCTGCTCAGTGACATCCAAAGTTAGGCTCCCATCCTGAATCTAGGATCTGCCCACCTTGTCACATGTATACCCCAAATCCCTCCTCTCCCTATTGCGTGTATATCCCTAGATTGTCCCCCTCTCATTGCTGTATCACCTATAGTACAACCGCTTCCTGTGACATATGTCTTTACCTGTAATTAATGGGCTTGCACACTCCACAAAGATATATAAGCCTTGGTTAGCAATAAAGATGCCCCTTGGCCTCTCTTCATCTACCTCTCCGATCCTCTCTCCCCTTTCCCTTTCGCCTTGTCCTCCTTCCTATCATCCTCTCTCCTGCCCTCCGGTCTCCCATCTCCAGGTGGACCACCAAGCGGGGCTGAGGTGAGCATGCTACCATGAAATGTGTCTGACTCCATTATTTCAATCTCTCTTTTATCTCTCATGCTCTCTATGACTTCATTATAATTATATATCTCAACCGTACAATTGCACCTAGTTGTGGAGGGCTGGCCTTTCCCCCACAGTGAAGAAAGCTGATGGTGGGGGCTATCAAAAGATATAACGAATGGGGTCTTAAAGGCTTGAAGATAAACAAGCAGCCATCTAGCAGGGAAGCGACAAAGCCCACATCGAAGAACCACACCAGCCTGTGTGATCAGGAGGAAATAAGGTCTTAGACAAGGGTTGTTACACCCCCAAAGGGGTCACGACCCACAGGTTGAGAACTGCTGCTCTAGTTCTTCAATGCTTCCTCCCCTGCCACTATCATGACCCCAATTCTACCTTACAAATCCAGCTAGATGGGAGCACGTACACTGGTACAGATAAGAACACCAATGTACACACGGAAATCAGAACAGATTAATCCCTCAGGGACAGTAATGGGAATAGTGATACCATGAGGTTATTATTATTTTATTTTTATGAGGTTATTGTTATTAGTTATAATTTATCAAGGGTGGGAGGGTGGGGGAAGGAGGGAAAAAAGAAGAGCTGATTCCAAGGGCTCAAGTAGAAAGAAAATATTTAGAAAATGATGGTGGGAATATATGTGCAAATGTGCTTGATACAATTGATTTATGGATTGTTATAAGAGCTGTAAGAACCCCCAATAAAATGATTTATTAAAAAAGAAAAGAAAAGAAAATCAGGTCTATTGGTTCTTGGGTTTTGTTTTTTTCTCTTTAATCTTGGGAGCTCTGTTCTGATACATTGGTCTATATATTGTACTAATACCAAGTTATTTTGATTACTGTGACTGTGTAATTGGTTTTGAATTTCGTGAGTGAGAGGCCTCCTACTTTATTTTTGTTTCTTTTTTTAAATTTTTTTTTATGACAAGACAAAGTCATTTTTATTCAGTAGAGGGGAAAAACCAGCCGCATAATACAGAGTTAGATATAATCTCACAAAAACCCTTCTCGTCTGTGTGGGGAGGGCTGTTGCCAGTACTAGGGCCAAGGGAGTGCCGGCTGCCGCTCGGAGCTACCTTGCAGCTGTCACACCCAGGATGTCTGGCCTGTCCCAGGAGGTGGGGGCAGAGGGCATGGCAGTTCTCGAAGAACTACTTTGAGATAAACTCTAGCTGACGCTCAGGGGTCTCTTGCACCACTTATTGGAAAAGATCTGTGCGGAGAGGAGGGCAGAGGGCCCTGTAAGCAGTGGTGTGTGGCTAATGGAATGTCCCGGTTGATGGCATGGTGCTGGCTGGGGAAACATCTGCCTAGGCATTGTAGGAAGAGGACGACACGTTGCCACCATGGCCTGTCCAATTTGTGTGGATGAATTGTCCTGGTTTGGCTAAGAGTTCATAAGTATGAGCCTGGATGAGGTTGGCGGGCAGCATCTCGTGTCGGTAGCCATCGTAGAAGGAGAGCGCAGTGGTGAAGCAGGGCATGGGGATGCCTAACTGGACCCCTGTGCTGATTGCCCGCCGCCAGGAGTCCTGGCAGTTTTCGACAGCTGACTTGAAGAAGTCATCCAACAGGAGATTCTGAAGGTCTGAGTTTTGGTCAAAAGCATCCTTTATCTTCCCCAGGAAGACACTTCTGATGATGCAGCCGCCCCTCCACATCAGGGCAATGCCACCATAGTTAAGGGTCCAGCCAAATTTGGTGGCTGCCTGCCGGAGCAGCATGAACCCTTGAGTGTAGGAGATGATCTTGGACGCATAGAGGGCCTTCCGAATGTCCTCCAGGAATGACTTCTTGTCTCCACCAAACTGGACCTTGGGGGGACCCTTTAGCTTTTTGCTAGCTTGTATCCTCTCATCCTTCAACGATGATAAGCACCGAGCAAAGATAGCTTCTCCAATGAGGGTGACAGGCACCCCGTATTCCAGGGCTGAGATGGCCGTCCACTTCCCGGTGCCCTTCTGCCCCGCACTGTCCCTGATCTTCGGCAACAGGTGTTTGCCATCAGTATCTTTGAACTTGAGGATATCGGCTGTGATTTCAATCAGGAAGGAGTCTAGCTCCGTCTTATTCCATTCCTCAAATGCCTTGGCCATCTCGTCGTGCTCCATGCCGAGAACGTCCTTCATCAGGTGGTAGGCCTCGCAGATGAGCTGCATGTCGCCGTACTCAATGCCATTGTGCACCATCTTCACAAAGTGGCCTGCTCCCTCCTCGCCCACCCAGTCACAGCAGGGTTCTCCGGTGCTCACTTTCGCAGCAATGCCTTGGAAGATTGTCTTGATGTGCGGCCAGGCTTCTTTGTTTCCTCCTGGCATGAGCGACGGGCCGTTTCGGGCCCCGTCTTCGCCACCACTCACTCCACTCCCCACAAACAAGATCCCCTTGTCCTTGAGGTCCCGACATCGTCTTGTGGTATCCCTGTACTCAGAATTTCCCCCATCGATGATGATATCACCAGCACTCAACAACGGCACCAGTTTTTCAATGAAATCGTCAATGGCTTGACCAGCCTTCACCAGAAGCACGATCCGCCAAGGCTTCTTCAGCTTGGAGACCATTTCCTTCAAGGAGTGAGCGTCAACCACTTTGGTGCCCTTTGCCTCCTTGGCCAAGAAATCATCAACTTTGGAGACTGTCCTGTTAAAAGCACAGACCACAAAGCCGTGGTCATTCATGTTCAGAATGAGGTTCTGGCCCATGACAGCCAGTCCAATCAGTGCAATATCAGCTTCGGCCATGGCGGCATCGGTCAGAAGAGAGCCGAGGAGTCCGGTGGAAGAGGGTTCGGAGCTCGCGGGCAACGGAGACTAAGCTATTTTTGTTTCTTAATAGTATTTTGTTTAGCTTGGGTTTCTTTCCTTTCCGTATGAAGTTTGTGATTAATTTTTCCTTTTTTGTTGAAGAATTGTGCTTGGATTTGCATCAGAATTGCATTGAATGTATAGAGAGCTTTCAGTAATACTGACATTTTCACTATATTAGGTCTTGCTATTCATGAGCATGGGACATTCTTTCATTTATGTAAGTCTCTTTTGGTTTCTTAAAGTAGTGTTTTCTTTGTAAAGAGTTTTGTTTCTCTTTAGGTTTCTTCCTAAGTATATTATCTTTTGCATGGTTATTGTAAATGTTATTGTTTTTTAAATTTCCTTTTCAGAGTCCTCTTCTTTAATATGCAAGAATCCTATTGATTAGAGTTTGATACAATACCAAATATTTTGATTAGTTCCAGCAATTTTTTAATCACATCTTTAGCATTTTCTACATATAAGATCATATTGTTTGCAAATGGAAAAACTTTTGCTTCTTGTTTTCCAATTGGATGCCTTTGGTGTCCTTTTGGTGTTTAATATCTCTGGCTATGACTTCCAGGACTATATTAAGTAAGAGTAGTGATAAAGGACAGCCCTGTCTGGTTTCTATTCAGAGAGGGAATTGTGGTAGTTACATAATCTGTTGTTAACTTGAGATTTAAAAGTAAAGGGGTAGAGTCTATCTAGCCTGTCAATCAGGTAGTAGCTTGATGACCTCATTTGGAGGCGCTAAGGAGATAAATAGCTGGCTGGAGACGGGACACATGCTAACTCCCTGAGAGACATCCTTGTGGAGAAGACACATGGAGAGAGGCTGATGGAGCTGAAAAAGCCATGTGGAGACCCCTGCCAGTGCTGAGATGCTTGTAATACCACTGGATCCACAAGACTTCCCATCCACTGGCCTGTGATCTTCCTGCATTCGGCGTCAATGCATGTGTTTCGTGAGTCTGAAGAGGACTTGGTATCGGACATATGGGCTAATACCAGACTTATGGACTTGATCGGGACTGGGTTGGGATGTTTTCTCAATGTTCAATTGCCCTGGTGTATAAAGCTCTTTCTTATACGCACGAGTGTCTCTGTGAATTTGTTTCTCTAGTCCACCCACTCTAACACAGGAGTACTTCCACTTTCTCTCCATTGAGGGAAATGCCAGCTGTTGGCTTTGTATATATGCTCTTTATTATGTTGAAGAATTTTCCTCCTTTTTCTGCTTTATTATGTGTTTTTATGAAGAATAAATGTTGAACTTGTTGACACCTTTTCTGCATCATTTGAAATACTCATATGATTGTTTTGTTTTACTTACGTGGTGGGTTATATTGAGTGCTTTTCCAATATCGAACCATTGTTGCATGCCTGGTATAAAACCCACTTGATCATGATATATTATTTTGTTGAATTCTATCAGCTAGAATGTTTATCTTCATGGTTAAAAGGTTTACTAAGAACATTAACAGGCTGCAGTGCAGGTGAGAAAGGCTCAGTATTCAGTTGTTCATTCAGGACATGCCACAAAGTTCTTTCAGAGCTGCTAATAAGTTACCAAAGACCATGCCACTCTCCTATAAGCCCCAACCCAAATAGTCTCAGCCCAAAGGCACTCAGCTCCAGCCCTGTGGGTTAGCAAACCTCACTCTACCAATTAAGTGCCCAGAGGCACCCTACTCCACAAGCCAGCCTCCTGTCCAAAACCACGCAGTTTTATTGGCTCTGTGGGCTGCGAAGTCCACCACTCTGGCTGATGCTCCAGCTCCTGGTGCGGCTGCTCCTCTGATGCAACAGCTCCCTTCTGTAGGACATGCTCCACTCCACTTCTGGCTCTTTCTGGCAGTGAGAGTTCCCCCCACCAAGTCTCAGAGGGCATACTTTATACCTAGCAGGATGGCCATCCAATGGCTTCTGTTCAGAATTACTCATAGATGAATCCTGTCAGTGTCCCTCCCCGCCCCACCTTCTTACCCAGACCCATGCTGGAAAAGGTCGTCTGTTGAGAGTGACAGCGACTTTGGCGAGAAGAACCACCTTAAATCATTCACTGTCCCAGCACAGGCCCAGAGGAGTTTGAAGGAACAAATACCACATCCATTTCAGCCGCTCCCTTCCTCCTGTCCTTTCTCCTTGTCATTGTTATTTTATTTTTTGTCCATGTGTAAGAGCAAATAACAAAAAAAAGGTGCTGCGATTTTCAGTCGGTGCTGCCCATAGGGGTCTAGTTTCAGAGCAGCGAAGACTTGCTCGCTTTTCTAGCCACTCCGCAGCAGTTTTCTGCAGGCCAAGCCCTTCTGAACATTCCCTCTCCTTCAAATGAAAATAGTTTTCTTGTTTTCACTGATGACAAAGGCAAGCAATCTCAGGCTGTCGGTTTCAGACAGAGGTGAAATCTCCATTTCTATGGAAATATAATGGCATTCACTTGCCTGGCCTCTTCTGTTACCATTGCCCAGCCCAAGAACGGGAGGCTCCGCGTTGGCTAGAGCAGCAAGTGCTGGGTACAAAACTGCCTTGCAGGGACCAGGGTGGTGGTGGTTGGTGGGGGTGGGGGGAGATGGTCACCCAAGCCCTCTTGCCTGTGGACTGCTGCCTCCCAGACTGAGGCGACGAACAGGGAACTTTCCTGGGTGGTGGTGTGCTCCTGTGCTGCTCACAGGTGCAGTGATGGTGGCTGGGCAGAGCTGCTAATCGGCCTGAAGAGGAAGCAGTTTGTTGTCCCAGGATTACTGGCTGAGGTAGTTAGTTTACTGTGCCAACCTGGCCAATCAACACATGTGGGGTTAATTGAAGGGCGGAGGGATAAATGGCTCTGTGAGCCTCGCCTTTGGAGTTCTTGGGTCTCTTGCTTTCTGATGGTCGGACCAGGATGCAGCTGCCTTAGCCAGTTCCCTGCTTCAGCTGGCAAGACTCACTTCCTGCAAGACATCCCTGAGGAGAAGCCGCATGCACCTACCCCAATGCAGCTCTGGGTGCTGGAGCAGCCGTGTGGAGACCCCTGCCAGTGCTGAGATGCTTACACACTCACTGATTCGGCTTTCCTCCTGCAGTCAGCATCATTGCATCTGTTTTGTGAGATGGAGGAGGACTTTGTGGATTGGTGTTGGTCATATGGGTTAATGGGTTAATGTTGGACTTGTGAGCTTGGGCAGCACTTGATGAGCACTTAACCTTTATATAAAACTCTCTTATACGTGAGTTTCTGTGGATTTGTTTCTCTAGAGTACCCAGACTCACACACTGGCGATGAGTGCATTCCCTTCTTATGCGGGTTTTCCATGACTGATTTTTTAGAAGCAGATCTCCAGGCCTTTCTTCTCTGGTACCTCTGTAGACTGGACCCTCCAATTTTCTGCCTAGCTGCGGAGTATGAGCTGTTTGCAATACCCAAGAACTCTGCCCACTATTAGGTCACTCCCCAACTCACAAGGACCCTATACGATGGTGTAGAACTGCCCTGTGTGCATGACCAAGGCTGTAGTTTAGTTTATTTTTACAAACTTCTTTTTCTTGCAATGCTTTGTTTTATTACATTGCTGAGTAGGACTTGATCCTGACAAAGTGTACAGAGAGCATTATTCCACCTGGCTGCAATCCTAAAATGTGGCGATATTAACTATTTGTTTATTTATTTTTATTAATAAACATTTTATTGGGGGTTCTTACAGCAGTTATAACAGTCCAAACAGCAATTGTGTCAAACACATTGCTACATATGTTGCCATCGTCATTTTCAAAACATTTTCTTTCTGCTTGAGCCATTGATATCAGCTCCTCTTCCCCCGCCCACCCCCCACCCTGCCCTCCCGTCCTTGTGGACCCCTGATATTAAAATTTGTTATGATTTTCATATCTTAAACTGTCCACTGTCTCTCTTCACCCACATTTCTGTTATTCATCTCCCTAAGGGATGGTGGGGGGGGGGCAGAAATTACATCGATCATTGTAGGCAGTTCCCCATTTCTCACCCCTCCTTCCCTCTACCCTCATGGTATCACTACTCCCATTACTGTTCCTGAGGAGTTTATCTGTCCTGGATTCCATGTGTTGAGAGCTCTTATCTGTATCAGTGTACTTGCTCCAGTATAGCGGGATTTGTAATGTAGAACTGGGGTCATGATGGAGGGTGGGGAGCATTAAGAACTAGAGGAATGTTGTGTGTTCCGTCAGTGCTGTACTGCACCCTGGCTATCAGCTAGAATTTTGTTGAACAGTTTGTCATCTATTTTCATCAGGAATATTGGTCTATAGTTTTAGTTCTGGGGATGCCTCTGCCTGGTTTGGGGATTGGGGCTATACATGCTCCATAAAACGAGGTTGGCACTGTGTTGTACTTTTCTGTACTCTAGATAGGTTGTGTAGAAATGGTGTTAAATCTTCACTAAGTGTTTGACATAATTCCCCAGCAAAACTACCTGGTCCTGGACTTTTGATTGTTGGGAATTTATAAATAACCAGATGTATCTATTCTTGTGTTAGAGGTCTGCTAAGATTTTCTATCTAGCACTTCTCTGTCAATATTTTTGTACTGTGGTGACTTGTGTGTTGTGATGCTGGAAGCTACATCACCAGTATTTCAAATACCAATTGGGTCACTCAAAGTGAAGCAGTTTTAGCAGATCTTCCAGACTAAGAATAGGCTACAGAGAAGGAATCGGCAGTCTGATTCAGAGGAAGGCGCCACTGAAAGCCTATGGATAGCTTCAAAACGTTGTCAGGTACTGAAAACCTCATGAATAGAAGCAGAACATTGTCAGAGAAAGTACCAGAAGATGAGCCCCTCAGATCAGAAGACATTCAAAATATGAGTGAGGAAGAGGTGCCTTCTTAGAGTTGACCACAATGACACAAATTAAATAAGACGTGTGGGAGCCTTGAGGACCTACATTTGCTCAAAATGAGAAGAGACAGCTGTAAACACCAATTAGTGATTA